TAATAAATAAATAATTATTAATAAATAAATAATTAGTAAAAAAATAAATAATTAGTAAAAAAATAAATAAAAAAAAAATAAATAATTAGANTAAAAAAAAAATAAATAAAAAGAATAAATAAAAAGAATAAATAAAAATTATAAATAAAAAAATAAATAAAACAAAAAATAAATAAAGTCAAAAATAAAAAAACTAAGAATAAAAGAATTAAAAAGAAATTAAAAAAATAATATGAAAATAAAGGGAATAAGAAAAGTAATAAAACTTATTGCCTTAAAAATAATTTAAACAAATATGAAAGAATACAAAAACTAAAAATTAAAGCGAAAAACTTATCGAAAAATAGATTAAAGTTGAATAAGAAACACAAAAAGCAAAAGAAATAAGAAAAGAAAAAAATTTAGAATTGAAATTAAGACTGCAAGCCACCTACGATTTCTATATTGACTTCCTATAAAAGAGAATGAAATGCATTTGATTAGTTTTCCAATATTTTGTTCCGCTTTCTGTCGTTAACACAATCTGCGATTTTTCTATTAGCAATGGAAAATTGCAATATCAATAAAAAGGAGACAACGCGCAGTTATCATAAAATGAAAGCAGTCAACTTAACACACATATGCCATTAACGGTTCTTATACAAGTAAGTAAATGATAGAAAAAATGTATGGCGAAACAAAGCTAAAAACGGCAAAAATAAAAAAATTAAATAATGGAAATAACTAGTGAGTGGTCAATATGCCACTTTATGTATTGTAGTATTGAGTAGCCATGCGCTCTGTGGCTATTAGATATGCCACTTCTCACATATGTACATACCTTCGTGTATGCCGACAGCAGTCAGCTGTCCGCCGCCCGCCAAGTCGGGCGCATCCGGCCCACGTTCACATTCACTAAATGACAAGGCCGTTGTTACGGGCAGAAAGATTTTATTTGTATTTTTTTATATCTTTGTACATTAATTTGTGCATAAAAAAAAATGTTAAAGCACATAAGTGACGTGAAGTTGGCAGCCGCTTTGTGTTATACAAGCAAGCTTCGCGATTCTTCTGGCCTAGCGTGTGCCTAGGAACATGTTTAATGTCCTCATTCTCAGTTTTTCGCTTACTTAGTCGCTATAAATGCGTAATCTAATCAGCTTAGCGCATATGAGTCGGCCGGCAATCTTATATACATTTTTACAACCGTATCCAATATGCCACATTGCAATATTCTCTCTATTTACCTACCATTGTGTATGAACAATGTTACATACATATTTATGGGTTTGTTTACTATCACTGCCTTGACACTTTTTGTTTCACTTCAGGTAATGGCGTTGCCCTCCTTAGTACAAATGTCATGTTTTCCGCGGAAATGTTTATTTATTATGGCGCAGACTCATTCAATTTTTAGTCCGGCATTTGCTACCATAATAAGATTTATATATTTGGCTTTTTGTGATTAAATTAATTTTTTTAGGGGTGTGGTGGATGTCTTGCGACGCACCTAAGCCTTTAGAAGACTCATAGTGTTGCCACTGGCCATGAAATTCCCTTATACTTGGCCCGTCTGGATCGACCCGTGGCCTGAAAAAAGCTAATTAAGTTAATTAGCCTCTAAATACCGTTGCCGAGATTTATGCATATCTTCCTCGACAATAATTTACATCCGCATATAAGATCTTCTACCGTCGTTTCTTCTTCGTTCTTGTGAAACCTTCTCTAGTAGTCTTTGTATGGTCTACAAATAAAGCAGTTATTAGTGATCACCCCCATTGGAGTTCTTATTTCATTTACTGGCGTACTGTCATTCGGAAGGCTCGGGTTCGAGTCCCGTGCGACCAACATCCAAAAGTTATTGAAAATTGATTTAAATAGAAAATTAAGTTAAATTTCCTCCGAGTGTATTTCTGCAATGAAATAAAGGATCTTCATAAAAAAACCTTCGGCCGTTCGGAGGCGGCTTAGTATAAACTGTAGGTCCCTTCATTTCTTAGAACATCAAGACGCAAAACCACAAATTGGAGGATGAGCTCGGCCGAACATCGCTTCAGCGGTTATTAATAATAATAATCGGCATTTGCGCTTGCGCAAGTCAGTGCTTGTTTGAAGCGGTCTTCGATGCCAGCCCTGCCTTTCATTATCTTTGATGTTATCCTGAATGACTTTAGTGATTTCAATATCGCTTGGTTATCTATGGTAGTGAGAACCTTCTTTGCCAGAACCAGCCGGCGCTCTGTAACTGCAGCAATTGTTGCCTCGAAAAACACTGCAGTGATCTGGTAAGTGAAAGGCGTTGCTGGTGCGGTGCCTAATTTTGTCGAAAAGACATCTAATCGATTTTTCATTTCAATTCATTTTGAATCTGTCAGTACAGATGATAATCCCTGTGTCTTTGCCTTCTTTTTTCCTTTCCATTGAAGGATTTTTAGGGAATTGCGCAAGTCCGTAATATTAGGCAGAAAACAAAATTGGTTGAGTACGCGAGAAGGCCCCTTATTACAGGTAACTAACAGCAACATTTCCTCGGCCTGAGAACCGGCCTCGCAGCCAGTATGTGATTTTTTAGATAAAATGTCTGTTTTTAAGATTATTTTTTACTTTTAGAATTTAATTCTTAGTTGTTTTTTTGAGAATCTTTATTTTTAAACATTTTATACGTGGAAATCACTTTTGGCACCATATTTTAGACTTTTTTCGAATCTATTCGGGCTCGTTGCTCGAAAATCTACCCGAACGACCTCGAAGTGTTTCATTGAAATTCGAATAAAGAATACAAATTCTTGTTATTTGCTTTTTTCCTTTTATTCTTTGGGGTAATGTCAGCGTATGTGGTCTTGAGTGAACATGTAATTGGAGTCTTCTGACCGCTTTTTTTTTTTAAGTCTGTTGTCATTCATGATGTCTTACCCCCGGTGCATACTCGTACATGCGCAAGCACACGAATGTATGTGTTCACTATTGTATTATTTCACTAAATATTGTTGTTGTTTTGTTGTTTTGTTTTGGCTCAGCTATCATTGCATATCTAAATTACTTATTCTTCAGCCTTATTTGGCGCTAATTTAACGTGTGTTTCGCGTACGTGCACAGGCACCAAAGCCGAGAAATGACAAATGCAGCAACAAAAAAATAAAAAAAATCTTTAGACTCAACGCTGATGTTTACACTCGTCACACTTGTGAATTTGAAATTTATTTATTTTTTTTTTTTTAAATTTTTTTTTTTGCAAATTATACCCTCCCGCAACGCATTTGTACAAAGGTGCATATTATTTTATATATATACGTATGTATTTGTAATGGCATTATACGTTTGTATGTTTTTTACTGCAACCACAGATTGCATATTTTAAGCATGCAACATCCATTGCAGCTACATACATACATGTATTGTACATATATATATATATATACCATTAAAAATCTCAGAGTGACTATTGTGTAATAAAAATGAGCACAAATTGAAGATTAAAATTAAATAAATCTCATTGCATACATACTCGTCTAGTACATATGTATATGCATAGCATCGTCTTTTGTGTACATATATATGTATTCCTGAGCTTCTTTACACTTTCTTGAAGGTTATTATGCTGCTCTGATTGTCATCGCGTACATGCAACGTCCTATCAGTGTATATATATATACCTATATATATGTTTATAATCGTATGTGCATTAGCGTATTCTATGCAGCTTGAAGCATTTTAGACATTTCCCGCTACCGATGCACACTTAGATATTTTTTCCCTCCAAAAATATTTATGAAATTGTCTACTTATGTGTCGTTATACGATTTCCTATCTTTCTCTCCGTTTTATCGAATGACAGCATAAATTATTTAAATGCTGAATAAAAAATACTTGGTGTTTATAGCATTCCAATTCACCTCGCCAAGCAGAAGAAAGAAAGAAAGCGCTTGTAATTGCTTCCGGTCGTTGTTGGCATACTAAGTTATGTCACATACCTCATACGTGTACATATGTAAGCATGTCCATGGATTTACCTTTTATTTTAAATTTTTGTTTTGAAAATTTGACTCTCATGCATTTGCATATTATTTGATTTTTTTCATTCTCCAAGCTTTCTTCGAAATTCTGCTACAAATTTTGTTGTGATTTTTTATGGAGTTTCATACATACAATACATACACTATGTATCTACTCTCTCAGCTTAAAGCGTTTGTTATTGAAATCCAACATTAATTAAAATTATTAAAATTCGTTTAAAATGTGCAACAGATGCATGGGTAACTCACTTTTGTAACGCAAAACAATATTTTTTCACCGATTCGGCTAATATCTTCATGCGACTGGAATCTGGGTGTGACAATTTGGTAATAATTGCAGTCTTAAGCTGACATTTGTTGTCAAGTTGACTAATTTACTTCGCACATTCTTCATGGGATTTAAATATGGAGAACAGGCTGACCAGTCGTTGGTTTCCATGGAGCGATTGTCAGAAATTGCATCCTCTCATTGCCTTTGCAAATCTCTCCAATAGAACTGAAAACCATCTGGGTTAACCAGATTCCTTTTTTCCGTGGATAGGCTTGCTTGGGGCGTGGCAAAGGTTGAGGCTCCTTCATCAAAATGGGTAAATGCAAATGTTTACACCGAGGCGGCTTTTGACACATTATTCTCCTAAGCTGCGGTCAAATTAAACACTGGTGGAGCTCGAGCTTACTCTGATCATTTTTCGTCGATCTCGGCGAAAAATTCCGTGGACTCCGTAACAAATTTCTAGTGTATCGTTGTAGGCTCTTTGGGCCCTTAGGCTCTAACGTCTGTGCAACAGTTCTTCCTTATTTTTGCGGTTTGTCCAGTTGGGAGAATCAAGTGAAACCAGAGTGGACGTGAAGACTGGCAATTGCTAATTTACATATTGCAGAATTTCATGTGCAACTGATTTAGCGAACGAAGTCAGATTTTAAGGCAATATTCTTTTTAAATCTTACCGAGTTTTGGACAAAAACTAATAGTTTGATTCTATTAATTTCTTTCTCTTCTCCTTACAGAAGCTACCGAGTTATACCGGAAGGTATTTTTAAGCGTATTTTCTGATTCGAAAACAAAATTTTGAGAGCACAAAAAACTCACACTTCAGCAAATGCGAACAATTGCATACAGTTAAGAACTGTTAGTGGTGGCACCGTTGCTACTTGAATGCACAGCTGCAACCGCCGGACGGCGAACGCAACGAAAATACGCCACACACGGTAAAAACTGGACCGGTAAGAGGAAGCGCGAGTGGCAACAAAAATAGCAAAAACACTATATTAACCAAATGCAACAGCAACAACAACGGCAACAACAACGAAAGCGAAGAATAAAATAACTGAAAATAAGCGAAAAAATTTGCTTGCCACAACGTAAAGGAAGACCCAGAGAGAGAGAGAGATAGAGGAAGAGGACGAACGTCAGATAAACAGCAACAGCAACGAAAGCCACAAACCAAAAATACAAAATTGCAAAGTCATTCATTCATTCATTCATTCATTCCAGCCACTAGCCACCAGCCACCAGCCACCGGCCGCCAACGGCCGTCTTGACTGCAGTAGTTGGTTGAGTGGGCCATCGATGGAGGCGACTATAACTGCAGGATACAAAGGGGAAAAAGACACTAAACGAATAAAGACTCACATATTTGTATATGTAAGACAACAGCAATAACAACAGCAGCAGAAGACTTAACCAATCAACGAAACAACTGTTGCTGAACAAAGCAAAATTTGTTTGCCTGCAACTAACCAACCAAGTTAACGGTCGCACTGTGCACCACTCCACTTTCAGCGAACAAACGAAGCAAGTAAACTTTAGGAAGGCGGCTGGGAGGAGCAAGAGAAACAGGGAGCAGACGAACACAATAATATTTGTACAACGTGCAAATAAGTAAATTAAGGTGAGTCCTCCAGTGAGGTTATGTTTGATGTCATAGGCTGCCCTGCAGGAACTCAAAAGTTTCGAAACACGCTTAGCTTAACTTAGATATGCTATAATTTGTTTTGCCTCTGGTGATAATTATAAAAAAACTGTTAGCTCTGCTATGAGCCGAGTAAAGCCTCGACGTAGGGCTGATTCTGACTGTGTGACTAATTATCACTTTTTCTTCAGTGCGTGAGGCATGTTTGGAAGCTTTTTAGGTCGGCCTGTCTCACAATTAATTTCATGCTTAATTTTAGCTCCGGGTTGATACTTCTAATGGGAGGATGTTACACTGGTTTTTACGTGCCGAGGCTACTGAATCTAAGATCTCACAGATTCACTAATTCTTACAGGGTTGACCATCATGAATTATGCATTTTTCCGAGTAAGTCTTGTTGTACCTACCAGCTTCGTTGGCAAATAATTACTTATATTGGCCGATTGGAAATTTTTGCAATGTCACAACGTCTGTCACGTACGTACACCAGCAGGGCCTGCGCGGGCAACAGCCAAATTACACATATGTCCTTCATTATTGACATTTTTGCCACAATAACTCAACAGCAGTTCAATAACGTTTGTATTTATCTGGCGGCGCCATCAAGCTGCCACACGACTCAATGTTGCATGAAGCTTCCATGAGCCTTCAATGCCGGACAGTTTAATGTTGTTGCAGCTTTTGCATGTGTTGCATTTACGTATGCATATTAATGACAATCCGTCATTGTTGTTAATCATTTATTTTTCTTTTTTTTTTTTTTTGACTATTTTCGCCTCTCCGATTGACTGACTTCACATACTTGCCACATACACGTGCATTCGTGTAGGTATTTGCATGCAATAAATATGCATTTGCAACAGCATTCGTTCAACTCCACTACTATGGGTGTAATGACGTTGATGATGATGACGACGATGGCCGCATACCAATGAGGCGGGGCGAGACGCAGACGGACAAAAGATCATTCAATCACCATATCACTTATTGTCTGCCAATTCCTGCAAATCATTTGTGGGATTTTCATCAATGACTCGGATTTATGTGTTGTACGTACGAGCATGTTGCATGCCGCATTTTTGTTTTTTGTGCTTTATTTCTTTAGAAAAAGCATTTTATGACGTTGTGAGAGAGTTTTTTTTTGGAAAGTGAATGTTGTGAATTTGAAATTTTCACTAAATCCCTGAAGTGGAAACGAATATTGGGTAATAAAATTGGAAGAAAAGTGAGTGTGGTGTTCATAAATGGCTAAGTTGTTTTGTTAGAGTCGGTAATGCGAGGAAGGAAATGCCGTTTTGTTGTTAACATTTTATGTTTCAGTGAAAGTTAGTGTTGCCATGATTGACATTGACAGAAATACGAAAGAGTTTTCTTTACATTAATGCAATAAAGCAAAATTATTGTGGGACGTGTTCGGCACACGGTTCAGGTGGCTGACCCCAGACGAAGGATGAATTCGATTATGAAAAGAAGGAATTTTTGTTCGACGATCTCCTTAGTGACGACTAGGAGCAGCTCCTTCCCAATGTTAGCCTTCTCGTTTAACCTCTGTCCTACTGCACTTACATCTCTCATTCATCTAAAAGCCTCTGAAAGTTTCGGATATGTAATTCGCAGTTGCCGTATTTGGCTGTTACTTCGTACACCTGACCGTTATCAAGCTCGAAACTTTTATTAGTTTCAGAATATTAGTCGTAGAAACATATTTAAGATCGAGCTCAAACATTCGCTTAAGCTTACCTTCTTATAACAGAAAGAAATTTCGTGTATTTAAGGTCAGCATACCCCCAAAAGATTATGCTTTACGTAGTGCTCTCTTGGATAAGTAAAGGTTTAAAAAGACTTGAAACGCGACTAAGAATTCCAAACAGTCTGGTTTGTGTGCGTGAGCGTCAGTTCGGCCAGAGGTATTACTTGGAATACGGTCTGCGTAAGCGATGATGAAATCCCAAACAAATTATAATCCAGGCACCTCACAATCCTCGGAAAAATAATAAAAAATCGTGCGATGCGACAAAAATTTCCCAGTCTACGTATCTTGATCGTCTGTCATTCAAAAGGGGCGTAAATGTACTAACAACCCTTCTAAAAATGAATTGCGATTAAAAATATTTTTTAACTTTTCTTCAGGGCGAAATCATGAAGGTCAGAGCAGGAGAACTTTGGAAAACTAAAAGCAAAAATTCTCTATTCCTCACTTTTCTCGCGCAAACGACAATCACAAAATCACATTTCTCTAGATTTTCAAGCTTACAAATACAAATTCAAATGTAATTTAAACAAATAAAACATAAACCAAACAAGAAAGAACAGCTGTCTTCGGAAATAGCGAAGTCTTTATACCATTCATGGTTTCTCAAGTATGAAAATCTGTTAGTGGGGTCTTATGAGGAAGTCTTCCGATTCCGTATTCCAATGCCAATTTTTATTTGTATGCACGTGTGTATAATTCCAGATTTCATACTTTTAGATGTTTTTCCAACGGATTTTTGACAAAATCTTCTATTTGAAAAAATCGCTTGTATGGGAGCTTCGAGTCTATGGTATATTTTTCCGAGATCGTTGCTTTTTTGTATACACTGATACATATATATTGACATACTGAATATTCCCAATAAGTCCTCATACCTATAGCCTCTACTCAGACTCCAAGTAATCCTAGGGGAATAACCTTTCAACCCATCAGTGTTACGTTATTAGACCTCGTTTTACGCAAATCTTTCTTTATTTTTTTAATTTTTTTTTTTTAATTTTTAGAATTTCATTCCACCATCTCGATAAATTGTAATCACAAACAATACAAAGCCGTCCAACGTCTTCCCTTGGCAACAAAATACACACTCCGATGCCTCCTACTGCTACCAAGCGCCCCTTCCCGTAGTTTTTCAGTCTATTAGTAAATAATAAAAATAGAAAATAAATACTATAATAAAAGGTGTATACAAACAAGACATTTATGCCAACAAGCAAAAGTGGCAACAGCGGCGGCGGCAGCAGCAGCTAAGTACTCCAATTCTAGGAAACTGGGTAAAGTGTTGCCACTGCTGGCTATGCGCCCCTTGGCTTCTCGGCGCTCAGCGCTCGGCTCACGGCTCACGGCTGTGGGTTGTTGACGTATTCTGCAGTTGACGTGCACACCATTCATTTGGCTTACATTTCACGGTGCATAATTCAAGAAAGCGGCAGTGCATACTTATACTATATGGCGTGTGTGTGTGTGTGTGTATATATATGAGTCTGTATATATTTATGACAGCTGAGGAGTGGCTTTTGCTCTAAAATAAGCCAACGTTCGCTCGCGTCATTCATTCTAAAATATGCAAAGAAGCAGTCAAGCCGGCCAAGATGAATGAGGATTGAGATATTTTTAGTAAGTGCGCGCGCGTGTGTGTGTGTGTGTAGGTAGCTGAAGGAAAGCAGCAGAAATAGTTGTAAAAGGAAACTAAGCTGTTCCAGTTTATAAGTATGTGGAGCTTATGCGCCGCACTGGGTTGGCGGAGATGGAGATGACAATGTTGCTTGCCATTTGTAATGTTCTCTAGGATATGCTACTGAAAACTGGCAATGCGCACTGGTCTCGTACGGCTGCTGCTATAAATAAATATGCTGGAATTGGAGAAACTGACAGGAAATGATTTAAATGCCGTGAAATGTTGGTAATTAGAGTAATTACAGTTAATTAAATTACTGAAATAAATTTTACGAATAAAATTGTGATTTTACCAGAAAATGTGGAGAAGGACGAGGCCATATGGTATGGAGTGCTGTGAGATTAATTGAGTTGAGATAATTAAGCTTAGCCGAATATGAGACTGACTTTTACGAGCGGCAAAGTATGCGTAAGGTGAGAAGAGATCAGATTAGTTGGGATGAGATGAGATAAGATGAGATGAGATGAGATGAGTTGGGATGAGATGAGATAAGCTGGCATGCGAAGGCACGAAAACCGAACCCTTAAGAGCTGCTCGACGAACGGCGAAGAGGTGACTTGTATCCATATAAAATTAGATCAGATAAGGGAAGACGAGGGAATGTGTGATAAGCTGCTAAATCTAAGAGATGGAGGAGGATGCAATTTTTGGTATCGTTTTTGGTGTGGTGTGGATATGTTGAAATAAATTGATTTAGAGCTCGAATGAGATAAATCGGGAGAAATACATACTCTTTTTAATTGTTTTGGTGATTTCTGCATCAAAGAAAGAGTATTGTAATAGGCACATAGCTTATTGTTCTGATGAGTAATCAAAGGCTGCAAAGAGCTGGCTGCCTTGACTCGGATAGTAATGGAAATTTTCCACTGAAGTTCACTAATGCTTATAATTGCGCTGTTTTTCAACGAACGGCTCTAAAGAAACTAAAGCTATGCAAGATTCTACCTTATTCCGGTTGCCTATAAACTAAGACTTTTGTGGCATTTAATAATGCTTTCCATTTTCGGCGGGCTGACATATTAATTTCAACATATTTTACTAAGAGCGGCTTGTCTTCTGTATTGGCGGACTTAGATTCCGTCAAGAATTATGCATATATTGAGAATATATTTCTAAATTACTCATTTAACTGCATAAAAAGCTCAGCCTTCACCTCTCTGCCCTTCTAACTAAGCACTTAAGACAACTGGTTTCCATACAATTATGAGGAAACAACGCACAACTTCAAACACACCCAAACTACTTCGGACAAACACATTGACAGGCGAACAAAATATTTGCTTTTGTATAAATAAAAAAGAGCAAAAACTCAAACTAGACAACCCAACAAAGTGAGAACTGAGAATGCGTTGAAAAGTGAGTTGCTGAGTTACTCTTGCAGTCTGTTGGTGGCACGACAAGCTGAAGGCGGCGAGTGCGCTTGTGGGAGGGGGTGGGGTGTGTGGTTGACTGTGAAACAATGGCGAGTTAAGAACAAATTGTCAACATTTTCGCAAGAACAAGACCAATTGTTACAACACAATTACAACTGCAAATACAATTACATAG